ACTTACAGCATTTAAAGTACAGCAATTCTTAAAATGCCAGTTAGATATGGAAAACAAGAACCTGATAAATCCATTATATGGCAATAAAAAGGAGGAGGGGAGGAAGAAAATAATTAATTACCTCATTATTCTATCACCTATCGCTGTTCCTCTGATATTATATCTAGTAAAGGGAACAACAACTGAAGTCATTCAAAAATGCTAGGTATCATGTTTTTAAAAGATTAGCATCTATTACAAAATGTGCTCTACGTATTTGAATGAGAAGACTCCTTCTCCTCAATGTGTTAGTATATGAGACTACTTTGATTTAATTAAAAATAGTATTCAGATTACATAACAGTACACAAAGTTGATCTTACAAAATGCAGTAATTCTTCATAGATCATAGCAGAAGTGGAAGCAGCTGCATAATCATTTCCATTTTATATTCATATTTGTTTGAAACGTTAACCTACTAGTTTAACATTTTCCAAGCTTAGCCTCTGCTCATAGATCAGCTTCTGCCAAAGTCCAAACAAAATTAATTCAGTCATTTAAGTAGGAAAGCAGCCCTCAGGGAGTTGTTTTGACTAATTTGTGAAAATTAAGGTCAATCCATTAAAAACTGCACTCTCTGTGCACGAAGAACATACATTTTGCACAGATTCCCCCCTCTCAGATTACAAAGTATAGTGCTAAGGCAAGCCATATTATCCATTTCTGTTACAACTAAATTTGCTGGACTTAGTAAGTTTTAAAGAAGAGACACTATATGCATACTTCAAGACTTAAAAACCTGCATATCTCCTCATATTTGTAAGAGAGCAGATCTTTTCCTGCGGATTCCCTAAAATGGCCAGAAGGTTATTTCCTCTGTGTTCTGCTGTTTCATTTTTTTAAATTTAGAAATATTCTGTGCCATTCCTTACACATTTTGTTAAAAAGGGCATGTATTGACTACTCCAATGACAATAAAAAAAAAACCCCAAACTATTTGGCTTCTTTTAGTCACTGATCTTCACCATTCTGATAGTAATTTTCAGTAGATACAGAAATGCTGCAGAAAAATTTCTCAATTACTTCTTTCAAACAAATGTCCTTCTGTGTCAAAACTATTCCTAGCTGATTCCTAGTCAACGTTCAGCTGACTTAGCCAATTTATCACCCAAAGGATTGTGGTGTTTCTATGCATTTTGCTGCTACGATTCCAAGTCCTGTTCAAAATACTGAAGTAGGTACAAACTTTTGTGTTTCTGTGTCTGTTGCATAGTCTTTCCCAACCGTTCAAATTTCAGGTTAGTTGGTGAGAAGCTATCTATCCTCATTGTGTTTTGAGATTTATAAGCATCCACAAGAAGACATGAAGTCCCTTCTATCTATTCTTAGATTATTTAAGAGAAAGAAAAAGACCCAATCCTCAGTTTGAAAACATGAAAAGTTGGATTTATACCCAAACAAAATTCAAATAACAGAAACTCTGTAAACATTAGATTTGCAAAATGGACAGCATTCTGTTCATAAATCTGAAATCTACATCCATCTTACTAAAACTAAAGTGACCAGTGGAGTTGACGCAGGAGGAAGTTCTCCATTTATTTAACTGCAGGTACTGCCAACATAGCTATCAAAAGGGTATTTCAGCCACTACTTTTCCTTAAGAAGTTTAAGATCATGATTTCAGAGTATAGAAACAAAGTCTACCCTTCCTTTCCTCAGTGGAGAAAGTTGTACTTTACACTGGGAAACTGAGACAGTTTCCTTTATCTTCATTTCCCCAGCTGAGGAGTTTCTCCTCAATATAAACAATAGCTAGTTATTATGTATATAAAAAACACAACCTAAAGAAACCTAAAATTGGTTGCAGATAAAACTAGTAATGCTATATACTGGAAAAGGTTTATTAGTCAAACAGCTTTTAGCATTCTGTTTCAGAAGGCTACACCTTCTTTTTTATTCCTAGAGAAAAATTAAACATTTTTTTGTCACTGCATAAAATAGGTTCACAAAAGGTAGGTTATTGCAGGCTAGCCTTATAACATTCTCCAGAAAGGAATAAAAAACCCCAAACAAAAAAGCCCCAAGGCAACTCCCTCCTAGATATCCTAGAGAGGAAAAAAACCTACGTTATTACTTCTATATTAATGTCATTAATTATCTTATAGGATGACACATTGGAAACCAAATTACTAGATAAACTTGAGAAAATGAGATTTAGTAAAGCAATTGTTAGGAAACACAATTTCCTAAGTGAGAAAAGAGAAAACGTAAGCCTTTAGGAAGCATACTGGTGGAGTTAAGTACCAGTCTTGCTAATAGTCTTTGACAAAAATGTAGGACTGTACTCCTGCAGTGCATTGAGGACATGAGGTTGGGTAACTTTATCAATACAAAGGGGACTGTAGGACCTTGAGAAAAAGAGGTGGGTAGAAATTCAGTAGCATAAAATTGACAGTCATACACTTCTGAGCCTCCTTCTGGTGAAAGATAAGAACACGTTAATTACAGATGGCAAAGTAGGAAAGACTTCAGTGTACCAAGTGATCTTGTGCCTGACCACAAAGCCACCGCTACGAGACAGCCATAAGTAAGAGAGCAGAAGGATATAAGTACAGCTCACTTGTGTCTCAGAGAATCTTCTCTAGACCAAGAGTAATACTCATACTATTAATCCTAAGAAAATTCAAACAGCACAGTGTGCATAATTCTGGACTACCATATTCACGAAAAAGTGGAACATGGAGGAGCACAGACAGGAACCAGCATGATGGCATGAAACGACACATTTTTACTGCGAAGAGTAAGAAAAACTTGGCATTCTTAGTCTAGTGAGACAAAAGCTGAAAATGGGGCAGGATGAACGTCATTCAAATGATAAGCACTGGGCACAAAAAAATTATTTCAAACCAGTATGTTAGCTCAAAACAAAGTTACCGATTTCAGTCAATTTATACCCACAATAGCAGCAGTGTTTTGAGGTAGCTTCCCACTAGTTAAGGGGCCAGGGGGATTTTATATAAATTTCATCAGTTCATGAAAGGGATTCTATGCTATAACAACTGTTGTAGTAGTGGAAAGGACTTTCAGTTCTTTTCACTCTATTTCATATGAGATATAAATACTAAAAGGGCTCATAGCTAGCCTTTAAGACCACTAGTGCCTACTTTCTCTCTGGAAATCCAAATTCCTTTGAGCACACATACAATGTCTTACTTTTGTTCAGTATCTCAAGAGGGAATTTAGAAACTCCTGAAACTAGAAGAATAGGAGGGAACATAATGTAAATGTGTATCTGACTGCTCAGAAGTTAAACTAGAAAACTTCATTGCTTGCACGCACACAAAAGCAGAACAAAATTAATCGGTCAGGGATTAAACCTGAGTAACAAAAGCTTGGAAGCAATCCTAAACCAGTACTGACTACACAGCAACTTTTGTCAGATTTTATTTGGGGAAAGAATAAGGGAACAGTGGGCTGCATAAAGAATTTTAATTTTATCATTAATGTAGTTGAATGATCTTTCCTATAGGATAAATTTAAACTGCTACAGGAATAAATGTCAGTGCACACAAAGAAGGTAAAAAAGCATGTCAGATGAAGTGTAACTACATTGAAGACGTCCCCACTAGTGGGAAATTGTAACAGCTATATGATACATTCTTATTATATTACTACAAAAACTATTACATCATAGATACAACATTAAGTGTATGAAAAGAAGCTAACAATCCTGCTCAAAAGCAGAAATGGGATTAAAATTGCAGAGTTTTTCCCAGCTTGCTCTTCAATCACTAGATAGTAATGAACATTGTCTTTGCAGTAGAAACTATTTCTGCCATTAGATACTTATCTACAATTACTTAGTATTGCATGGAAAGTTAATGGATTAAGACGGAATCTGTATATATTGGCTTTTTCATAAAAACCATCATATAGTGAGCAGAATTACTTGTGCTATGTAGTAAGCAGCTATTGACTGTTCTTTTTGTCACTACTGACAATGTGGTGGCTCATGACTTTTTTAACTGAAGATTATTCAAAACCTTTTCTATACACAACTTAAATTCTTTCTGATTTCCTAGTGCATACATATTGTAATGCTTCCTGTAAAAAATTTGCATTGCTAGTGTAAGAAATTAATAGCAAGATAACACTGCCTTTGAACAGGATAGGAGCAAAGTTAAGGCATCTGACAGTAGGTTACATAACATCTAAAACAAGCTAAAAAAGTATTTTCTTAAGCCTAACAATAGAGATGTTGTTTAAGTAATTATTACAGCTTTTAAAAAGTTCAAGAATTTAAATTAGTGAACAAAGATATTAAACCAGCGACACCAAACTGGGGGCTAAGTTTACTGAATGATCAAATAAGTATGCACAACTGTTTATATTATACCAGGACAAAAATACACAAAGCTTACTAAATGCATCTTATATTAATGACGACAACTAGTGATCCACCTTTTTTTTTTTTTACTGCCATACATACTGATATTTAATAACCACCAAAAGGAAAAGGATTACAGAGTTTCTTCTTCAGAGAAAAAGAAGAATGAAAAATTGAACACATCAGTCTTGATGTATGTACTACAGACAAACACAGCATTGCTGAACAACAGCGAAAAGCTCTTGCTTTGTCAAAGTAAGAACACCTGAAGTACAGTTGAAAGAAAATGTAGACAGGTCCCTGTACCCTGTACACAAATTTATAAACTTTCTATACTTATGACTACAGGGAGAATAATAAAAAATGAACTGCAAATATTTAGCACTGGGGTATTCAGCAGGCAAGAAATAAGCACAAGCAGGTATTAGATCTGTAGGAGCTTGCCTGGATAGGAGGGAAAAAAAATAGCTGTACATATCTTACATATAGGCAAATTAGACTCAGCCATCAAGCTCCTGGCTAGTTGTCAAAGAACAACTTATTTTAATTAAGGATATGAGGCATGGGTTTCTAGATCTTCCATTCAAAAAAATGCATTTTGCCTAGCAATAGCAGAGATAAGTATTCCCCTAACCTGTGTCCTGGTCCTCCTCGATACCTTGCCCCTGGGATCAGAACAGGATCATCATCACTGTCATCAGTTTCTTGGAGAGCTGAGGTCCTGGTAGAGGACTCGTCCGGAGCAAGCCCTGAGGATTCTGGGTTTGGCTGAGGTTCATCGTTTGCAGCAAGCGAGTTGGCAGTGGATTCAGTACTTTGACTTGAAATGTCTTGATTTGCACTTTTTTCGCAGGAGGCTTCTTCTTCTACATTTCCAGAGAGAGCATCAACACTGGGGCCATTTTCTTCTGGTTGGATTCCAGAATGCTCAGGACCAGGTTTATCTAACACAGCTAACAGAAAATATTGAGAAAAATAAGCCACAGCATTACTGATTATAGCTTATTTTAGAAGACATTTTAAACACTCACAGAAATTAAATTATGCATATTGAGTTTATATTGGAAATCTAGTTTTTCATTCTCCACTTCTTCATATAGCTATTGAAAGAGTACAGATACATACTTGCTTCTGTCATCTCTACAGTTTCATCTGTAGTTTTCAGTTCTTCAGCACTTGCATCTTCCCTGTAAGATTCATCAGGAACTCCTGAATTAAAAAAACTTAGTATTAAATCACATGATTTCATTTAGATGCACATCTATAATGTAAGTAAATCTAAATGATACTAGTACTTGTAGATCAAATCAATCCACTCCAAAGTCCACGTGTCACTACTGAAATCTCAGATACTAATCACATAGACTCAGTATATATAAACTTATCTAGTTGCCCAGGTCAATATACTAACAAAGAAAAAAGTATTTCTTTCTTGTTCCTTAATATACTTAATATCCTATGCTGTAAGAACTTTAGCTGCAAAAATAGCATTAATACTCTTTAAACAGATGATCACTTACAGAAAGTTACTATTTCTGAAGACAGAAATTAAGTTATCCCTCTATTAAGAGGGATTAGGTGTTTTTGTTTGTTTGTTTGTTTTGGTTTTTTTTTTTTTTTTTTTTAAATTTCTCAGGAACCAGTCATTTGACCTGACTGCCCTTTTGGCAATGCACTGAGCAAGACAACCACATGTAACAAAATACCTAGCACTCATTTATGACTGCAAAGTGCAGTTTTCTATTTTTTGATACAAACTGGGGCAGAATATGTCCTTAAGAAAAAAGAATATGGTTTTTGGAACTAAAGACAGGATAAGTTAATTTTGTTTATATTTATTTGCAACTATCTCAGGTTGGTATCTTTTTCTTTCCTAAAAAAACCCATGGTCTATTATGGCTCTATTCTGCCTTCACATGCACGTGTATGAGACTCTCATTGTGTTCAATGGTAGTGATGAACCCAACGAGAGCAGAATTTTTACCTTAACATTACAGAAATAATACTGTATCTTACTTGTTTCTTCATCTTCAAGCCCTGATTCTTCTGAGGCTTTTGTTTTCACAAAGTCTTCTTGGCCTTCAGTTTTGCAATGACTCCCACTCCCTCTAGAGCTTGAATTTGTGCTGCTCCTGGCAACATAACATGTAAAACCCAACAATTTAGAAATAATGTAAATTGGTAAAATCATTGCAATAGAACAGCCTGGCCATCATCATCTTTCTCACTGCAATCTCACAACTCAATAGCTCCTGGCTGCAGCTACAACTAACAACCTTCACAGCAATTTCAAAATTCTCTTTTATTATGTCCATCATCCCACATTTTTTCTCTGTATCACAGAACCCTGTTCTCTCCTTCCTATCTTTTTTTTTTTTTTTACTTTTGAACCTTTAAAGGATTGCTTCATTGTTGTTCAAAATATTGTGAGAACTGAGAAGGATTTGCTCTCTTTCACTATTTACACATTTTTTACATGTATAAATGATCACAGATCTTATCAAAGGTATTACAAGCTGTTGCCTAAGCACTAATACATAATCTTACCCCATCCAATTAAAAAACCGATTCAGACAAAATTCTCCAGGTTATCCACCATTAACTATCATTCCTGTACCTTCTGAGGCACGGACTTCTGATGTCAGCTTTCAGTCCTCAAAGTTTTGTTATTTCTCAAGATTTACTATAAACTGGTACTTGAGATTTACTCCCTATTCACGTTTAAATAATTATGGTGGAACACCAATTTCTGTTTACAATAAGGAAAATCATTCCTCAGTAAATATGTAACACTGCTGTTCTGAATGTCCTCAAAACTAATGTTTTCAGACTCTCTAGAAAAGATCTTATTTTAGGAAATGCAAAGCCTTGTTCCTGAGCTCTCCCATTCTCTCCTGTCCGACATCTGTGTTGTGGCCTCAAACTTAGGCAAATCGCTGGACAAAACTGCAAACAAAAATGAGTTATGAGAATTAGAAGCATGATTCTCAAGAATTTAGACTGTACTGTTACAAGTATCTTCTTACCTTTGTAAGTTACAACTAAATTATTTTATATACTACATTGCTAAAAGCAGCACAAATCATGCTTAGTGTAGATTCTTGAGAATCCAGTCTAGACTTCAGTACTTCTACTTTTTTTACATTAAATTTGACAGCTTTTACTCATCTTGATGAGCAATAGTCTGTTTCATTGCTGTACTGGATTTAGAGTATGTAGAAAATTTTTGTTAGTGCTTACAGTATTTATTCTACATCAAGAATTTTCAGCATGGTTTCTGAATGGACAGACAAGAAAGGTACTGCTAGACACGACGTCCGAGGATCTTTGCTATTTCATGGCTCATACGATATAATAGCTTTTATGAACTTAATCACCGTATAAGCACTACGATTTTTTTTTTTTTTTTTTTACTCTTAGGAATCTACTTTCTAGCTCAATGCTAATTCACATTCATGTATTACTCTGCTTTAATTTTTATTTCAATGTTACTTTTCACACCAGCAGTTACATGAAGAGGATGTTTTTGAGAGAGAAACATAACACCCTGTGCTTGCGTTACATTAAGCCCTACTATCTGCTTCTGTAGCAGGTTTTCTGTTTCCCCAGTTCTCTGCATAACCCTTCTTTGAACCTCTGCCAATTTGAATCAGTTTTCTCGAAAGCAGGACAAAGATTGCACACAGCATTCTAAGTCAAAAAGCAAAGCAGAGTCGAGCAGCTGCACCAGTAATTCTCACCCTTGGCTGAAGCCTCCCAACGGGTGACATCTAAGATCATAGTTGCCTTTCTGGTAGCTGCATTATATTGAGAATGAAATGACCGGTAGGTCCATGTCTTCTTCCATTTCATTTTCACAACACTCCCAACCTCTCAGATTAAGTTTTTGTTATTTGTCCTCAGCTGCATCATTTTGTTGTATGGAATTGCATCCTACTTCTATTATTCCATTCTCCAGCACAACGTTTTTATTTAGTCTCTGAACTGACAATGCCTTGCAACTTTGTCCTGCTAGGAAATGCTTCTGTGTCTCACTACCCACACTACACTACCCCCTATAAAAACTCCATTAAGTTAGTTTACCACCATATTCAGTTTCTTTATTGATATATCTGTCCCCCCTTGAACAGAAGCTCAACATGCATCAAGTATCACATACTTTCTGGAAATCCAGACAGCGTCTCTCTATTACACCATCTATGTTTCTAGAACCCATTATTCTCTCAAACCAAAGGTATTGAATCATGCACATTCTAGTTCCCATAATTTTGGTTTACTTCCCATGTACTGCTTGTTTTAATATGCTTTTTATCAGAACTGTCCTAAATCTGTGAATAATGCTACCATTAGTCTTAAAAGATCATGATGTTTAGTCCTTCATTCTCCTTTGGTATTATATTTTATGTTTGTCATTCACATGGTGCTAACATGTGGCCCAAGAGATTTGTTACAATACTTGCTACTAGACAGAATATATATGTGAAGTTAAGTTTTAGTAGTTTTCACTTAGACTTTACTTCCCCAACTACAGATTTTTGTAATGAGTAATTTTCCTGTCCCTAATCTCCATTCCCTGTACATTCTATTTTTTCCTAATATTGTTTTTGAGATAGTTGTTCATTCAAATTTTCCACCTTCAGAATCACTTATATCATTAACTGTTTGAAGTGTAAAATGCATTTTTCAAATTTTGTTTTAAAATAAAGTGTTAATGTTGTTTAATAAAATTTGTTTTCTGTGGTACAGTGGTAGTAATATTTTATTATTAGATTAAAAAAACACTAGAACAAATGGACAAAACATTTGCAAATGCTCTGTTCCTCTTGTGCAGTCTGCCTACGCTAAAACATTAAACAAAGATGACTACAAAACTAAACACAGAATTAGTTAAAAGCATTACAGCAAAACTAATACTTTCACAGCTTGCTGGATTTGGACTCTAAACAGTCTAATAGATTGGTTGAATATATTTGTTACAGTATTTCAGATTCACATGGGCAAAGACTTCATTCTTGTGGAAATACACAGATCACTGTTTAAAGTTTCCAAACTGCTATGCCCAAGGTGTATATTTTATATTTAAAGCCACAGCACTTCAGAGTAGCTAAATGTGGTGGATTCCTGCCCCCTCCCAGTAACAAATGCCAGCAAGCATTTCTACTTACTGCCTTCTACAATAATTTTGAAAACATAAGCGAAGGAATAGAAGTAAGAGGAGATAAAATACAGACTGTAGTTATTTTGGGGGATCCCGAGATGTTCTAGTGACAGACTTCGATATAAAGCCAAGTAAGTCAGGCCAGTTAGACAGTACACATTTATTATCTAAAAATGATGCCATCACTGTAATATCTAAGCAGTCCACAAAGTTGATATCTTAACCATATGCATTCATCAACACTCCTCAGACACAGAAATACTAATTTCACTGTTTTACAGCTTGGGAACTGTGCCACAGAAAGACTAATTTGCAGAATACCATATAAGAAGTCTGGTAGAACAGAGAATTAAGCACTAGCCCCTGGACCACCTTTCCATCACTGTACTACCCTGCTTTAGTAAGACAGTGAACACTAACATTATGCTAGGGTTTGATGAAGATAGCATGTTTCAAATTATGTTAACATTAAAAAGATTCATAGTAAATATCACAAAAAAACCTCTTGCATAACTTTCATGTTAAAAGTATGATTGTTTTATGTTCTGAATGCATTAAGGACTACAGACATTTCAAACTGTCTATATACATCTAAAAATAGAAATACACCATGCAGAAAAATAATTTATCTGTATATATGCTAGATGAGTGTTAGTGATATGTGCTGATCAATAACCAGCTAAAAACAAAATTAACTTCTTACCACTCATCAGTGAAGTCCAGTTTTATCGTGCTTGTAGTCGTTCCTTCTGTACTGTAGTGCAAACTTAAAACTGGTTCACCTGTTCCTGTTCGTGGCTTATCACTCTCTGTAAATATGGGGTTGATAAAGTTTGGATGGGCATCAGTAATATACATTAAGCTGTTACAATTCTAAAGATTCATTTAATTATCCTAACAAAGGCCAAATGTGGTAGTAACATGTACAATGTCTATTTAAGATCTCTTACAGCCCAAGCAAAAAGTTAAAAAGTTTCAGAGTAAACACACCAAATTTGCAATGCTTTAAAAATGGCCTAAAATTATTTGTATTTATAAGAGCAAAAAAAGAAGATGCTGTCCTTCAACATGCAGGTAAAAAAACCTGCAGATAGGTATGTGTACACACAATATTATCCTTTATAAGCAGATCCCTTTTCTATCAAGTATATTAATAATAAGAATATAAAATGTTTTTGGAAGTGGTGTTCAATCTATTTAATAAATACATATGAAAAAATGATTGTGAGATCTAGACACAAACAGTGGTCTAGAAAAATCACAATCCCATTTACTTTTTTTTCTACTTAGAACCCACTCAACTACCAATATCCTTAGACCTGCTGTAAATTGTCAGCTAGTTGTCATAAGAACACTGTAAATTCATGTTCTGAGTGCTTCAGGTTTACAAAAATTATATATTATATTACAATATATAATATTTCATATTATAATAACTGTAAGCAGAAGGGGAGTACTTGCAAAACAAACTATTAATGATGTCCAAAAGCAACAGAAGTGAATAAAATTGAAAACCACTGCAACTGTGCCAAACATCTGCAGCGTATGTAGTTTTAAGGATGTTCAGTGGGCTCCTTCAAAACAGAACTGCTCAGTGACATCCATCCACCCACCACCCTTCAGTAAAACTCATGGTCACAATCTACCTAGATGCATGGCACAATTGCCATCAACACTGAAGCTGGCCTTGGGCAGGACTAAAAAGTTAACGGAATGTACCATCAGACTAAGCCTCACTAGCGAGGTGCCATTCTCTCAGAACTCAGATGGGAGAGTTTACTTAGTGTTTATTAGGCACCACTTAAAGGACTGCTAAGTAGCCTGTGTTGTCTTGCTTTTCATGAATGCTGAGCTTTTTATCTAAGGACTGTTTGGACAAAACCATGCCGTATTTTCTTTGCTTTGCAGAGTACAGAAATTGGACTATAAATATACTTGCAGTATTGGCAGCAGACTGACACATAATAAAGTAACAGCTTCAGATCATTTTTGGGCAAACATCAATTAAAATCTAACATTTGATTCAAGCACAAACCTACAACTTTCCCCCACTAAAAAGGCTATTATCAAAACAGTAATGGCTACAATACTGTCACAGGATATTCATTTTTAAAAATACAATTAAGTTATGGGAACTATGAAATAGCACATAAGAATTTAACCTAACGATCAATGCTCATATTTTTAAACTGCTGGCAGGCAGAAGCCCACTTACAGGCTCAGAACAGTGATCAGCTGCTCCAAAGAACTTTTAATATGTATTTCTACATATTCTGAAATTAAAACAAAACCACAAAAACCCTGTAGGAAACATTAATATATTTTTATGTGAAAGAGAATTAACCAATTACAACCACGATCCTAATCATACACAGGGCATGGGCCCCATTTTATACAAAGAAAAGCTCATAGCCTTTCTAAAATAAAGGTTCCAGTTACACTCTTGTTAGAGTGCAGCAAGGATAGAACTGATCAAAAGCAAGTTTTCCAGTTCCTAAAAGAAACAAATGTAAGAAAATATTTTATAGTGGCTATATAGATATTTTGAACAAAAATGACATGTTCTTTGTCGGCTAAACAGGTGCTTTCTCTACTTTTTGGCAACCTGTCAGCAAGCATCTCTTAGTATAAAAGTCTGTTCAAACTTTGAGTAGCCCTTCCTAAGCAAGTACAAATACTGATCATTCCATCATACTGCACAAGTCATCAGAAGCTGGACACTGAAAGATTAAGAAATTACACATTTGGAGAATTCTTTACCTTCTTGTAACAGGGACAGACAAGGCATATCTTTGAACTGGGAACCCAGATAGGTAAAGACAGACAACTTACTGCCTTCAACAGTCCAAGACAGCCACCAAACAATGTCTGTTGTAACTCGATACTGATATGCAACATTCAGCACAAAGCAACTTAATATTACTGACCAAAGTAACCAAACATCGCTATCCTATACTGAACCTAATTGAGTATTAGGCTTGTGTTATAAAGCTCATCTCACATTATCATGACGGTGCTTTCCTATCTTAAAATCTCAACACCAAAAAATTTAACCAAGATTAACTTCCTCTGACTACGGTTACTGTGGAAGCAATGCTCATGTTTATTCACACTCAAAAAGTTGGAAGGATTGCCGCTTACCCAAAGAGTAACTGAGAAATTATTTTTACAAATTTCTCGAGACAGTTGTTAAACCACATTGTGTAATAGCTTTTTCTTAAATCTACAATAGCACAAGGTAAAATTTGGTTTGGGTCAGTTTCTTCTTTAAGCTAGCTTTAGGGCATGAAATCCACACTAATAAAAAAAAGAAACATTTTAGAAGACAGATGAGACAAGAATCTGATAATAAACTGCACAGAATTAGTCATGTAGTTCACTATTTTATATTAAACTTACACTACTAATGAAAGCTGAATGGGAGCCTCTGAAGAAAGCTAATAAGCTTTGCCCAATACATAAAGGAACATTCTTTTAGAGAAGCCACATAAAATCCGTAAGTGGTGAACTCTTTGTTTTCAAGAACAATGGGATTGCCAAAGACTGACTAGATTAGAATGAAGCACTGTTCTCTGTCACTACTAGGTTCACCCCATGAGGCCAGATTACCACTTCACATTGACAAGAAATGAAGGGAAAAGTTGTACAGCTTCTGTGATTTAGGGGAGAGCTATTTCCAAAACTATTAATCTGATTGCAAGCTCTAGTAGGGTAATATTTGCTCCAAGAGAAAGCTGTAGCTTGTCAACACCTTACTAAACTCTATTCTAAATTCCTCAAAACTACCTTGAAACTTTAGTTAGATTTCACAGCCAAACACATTATACTTTAAAGATACTATCAACAATACAGTTTCCTTTCATATGCAACCCTGTCCTAGAACAGACACTCCCATGAAATGGTCCATTCTCCAGATGCCTACAGGAGGAAAGTACTTTTAAACTACCACCCTTAAAACTGAAAACAAAATTTCATTCATAACCTTATTTAAAAAAAAAAAACAAACCCCACAACTGAAAGAAATACCCCTCATACACACTTTCTGTCTTAGAAAATGAACCTGTGCTCATGTAGCTTTACAAAGATCGGGGCTCAACTATGAAGTGGCAAGCGCATAGGTAAGACAGCTTTACAGATTACGTTAACCTAGTTAAACTAACATTGTAAGGAACTTCAAGCTGGTTTCCCACATCTCAAATGTTGCCCCATTCACTAGTCTATTGGCAACCCCGCAAGAAGATAGATGACTTTTCATGAAGAACTTCCAAAATAATTCCTATCTAGCACTAATCATGACCTTCATAAGAAAATCAGCTTTGTACATTCTGAAGATAGGGTTATATTCTGTGTGAAAACCAAAGAGAGTTACTTCTGAAGGGAGAAAATTTGATCCAAAGAGAAGAAAATAAGTGGTGTACTTTAGAAAATAGGAATTCCATGGGAAGACTTAACACACGCAAATTCATCAGAAGCAGCTAACTTGGAGGGAAGGGTGGAGATTCCTTTATCTGGTGAGGAACAGACTGAATAAACAATGTTACACTGATACCACTCAGCATAAGGCACAATGATATCTAAGGGAAGACCGAAAATCAAATCATTCTTTGGACCAGCCTAATCTACAGCTCAAGGCATATAATTTCTTTGTCTAGATGATTCCTATACTAATTAGTGGTAGTACTGCACTTTACCGAAGGAGGCTGTACGGACCACACTGTGCCTTACAATGAAGCACAAGGTCTGAAATTCTTGAGCATGTACCTGCAGCCCTCACTATAGAACTGGAAAGCTCTGTGTGCATACCAACACTCAACCAGTTTGCCTGACTGGGAGGCAGAACTAATTAGCTGGGACACAACACATGCCAATACAGTTTCAAGGACTTACAGCACTGTTTATGAGGAACTAACTCTGCCATAGCTGACATACCAGCCTGTTCTGGGCCAGCTCAAGTATCTATGATGTGGCACTGAACAATCCAGTATGGACACTTTAACTGAAGCCTTTCAGTACTTAAAGGGGGTTTATAAGAAAGGTGGGGACAGATTTTTTAGAAGGACCTGTTGCAATAGGACAAGGGGTAATGGTTTTAAACTAAAAAAGGGGAGATTTCAAATAGATCAAAGGAAGAAATGTTTCACAATGAGGGCAGTGAAACCCTGGCACAGATTGCCCAGAGAGGTGGTAGATGCCCCATCCCTGGAAACATGCAAGGCCAGGCTGTACGGGGCTCTGAGCAACCTGATCTAGCTGCAGATGTCCCTGCTCACTGCAGGGGGGTTGGACTAGATGACCTTAAGAAGTCCCTTCCAACCCAAATTATTCTATGGTTCTATGACATCACCTTAAGGGATTACTAAACCCTTGCACTAACTTGCAAATATCTAGAAATAGCAGTAATCAGAATGGCTTCTGCGTATGTAGGAAGCACCACTAAGATAGTAGGGGATGCATACACTCATTTACACTTCAAAGTTACTGAGATAGTTCTCTGGCTTCAGGTTCCCTCTCTAATCATAACAATTCAGGCAGTACTTTACAGTCATAACATCGCCTTTAGGCTGCAACAAACCTAACAGCCACCCTCCACTATTACAAACACTGTAACAAAAAAAAAAAAAAATCCAGTGTAGATCACCGTAATCCATTTGAAACCATTTTGTACAGATGGGAATAACTTATAGCTTCTGCTGGACTGGCAGAATAATGGCATAAATTTATATGTTTGTAGTAAGTATCAAAAGATCTTTAAACCCAGAAACAGTCTTCTCTAACAAAAAAGACTGGTCCAACAGAAGACAGCTGATTC